TTTTCTTTTCTTTTCTTTTCTTTCTTTCTTTCTTTCTTTCTTTCTTTCTTTCTTTCTTTCTTTCTTTCTTTCTTTCTTTCTTTCTTTCTTTCTTCTTTCTTTCTTTCTTTTGCTATAGGGTGCATAACACTCACCGAGAGACAGAGAGACAGAAAAGTGAAAAAAAGTGAGAAATCACCCACAAGGGGGCATGGCCACATTGCAATCCCCCCTCCTCCATTCTCCCCCTAGGATCCTGGGCACACATGCACATGTGCCTGGCATGAGTTTCAAGCTGCTAGGTTCTGGATTCAGACCATGGTCATCTATGTGGGAGTCCAGTGACATAACCATTATGCCATCTGCTGGTCCTAGAGTAATATATTTTCAATCCATTCCCCTACTTACTTTATATACATTTCTCTTCATTTAAGGAAAGGTGAGTAAAAGAAGAGGGAAATCACTCGTAGAATTAGTAAACAGAAATGTGAAGGCTCTTAAGGACCACCAAATTCAGCTCACCTCTTTATTTTATTAAGTGAGGAGACCCAGAACTAAAAAGATTAAAATTCTATCTAGATATTCAGGTGGTTACAAAGATAGGACTAGAACACAGGTTTCCAACTCCAGGACTCTTTCACTTTCAGCAGTAAGATACTGAAACTGTAGTGTATATCTATGAATCAGATACCTATCATCTATCTATCTATCTATCTATCTATCTATCTATCTATCTATCTACCTAGCTATTGAGTTGTTAGAAAAGCCATGATGTAGAAACTAGCAGTTTGCATAATGGCTATGTTGCCGGATTCCCATGTAGTCAACTGCGGTTCAAGTCCTAGATCTGGTGGCTTAAACTCACATAGGGTGTGTGTGCATGCATACCCAAGATCCTGAGAGGAGAATGGAAGAGAAGGGATTGCAGCGTGGCCATCCCTGCTGGGGGTCGATTCCCGCTGTCTCTGTATTTCTGGCAATCTCACGTACCCTACAGCAAAAACCTCTCCAAAAATTTAAAAAAAAAGAAAAGAAAAGAAAAGCCATGATGTATTTTTTTTCTATGAAAAAATGTGTCATGACTTTTCTGACAACCCCATATTATTAGATATATAGAAAATTTCATAGAAGCATGGATTGGAGGTCATCTCAAAGAAGTATGGGATTGAAAAGATTTAATGAAAAATTGGGTAAATATTGGGAGGAGTTGAAATAAAAACAGTGCACCTCATTATCAACCACCATGGTCAACCTGGTTGACCCTAGTCACCCTATTTTTTCCAGTGATAAAGTGTTTTGTCCATATTTAGCCTTTTTTCTTTTTTTAGAGGTTTTTGCTATAGGGTGCATGTGCTTGCCAGACAGACAGAGAGAGACAGAAAGACAGAAAGCGAGAAATCACCCCCTGGGGGGATGACCACGTCGTAATCCCTTCTCCTCCATTCTCCTCTTGGGATCTTGGGCATGTACACACATGAATTTTAAGCGACTGGGTCTGGGTCGCAAACCATGGTCAACTATATGGGAGTCCAGCGACATAGCCATTATTCTAACTGCTGGTCCCTCCATATTTAGCTTTTATACTAGCATTGAATACTTAGTACTCAAGAATGTCCTGTATTGTTCAGCTATTTCTGTTATAATTCATTATCTGTTAAAAAACCAGATTCACAGAGGAACTAGAAAATTGCATCTGTGTATACACACACGTGTGTGTGTGATGTGTGCCATATGTATAAAGTAGTGCTTGATATCGGATCAGATTTCAGTTAAACATATTTAAAAAGAAAATTCAAGATACTTGCTGAAATAGGGAAGAAGGAAAAGTGACCTGCAAAGATACAGTGGGGTGAATGGAATGAAGAGAGAAGGGAAGAGTGAAAGGACACTTCATGTAGCTCTGAGTCAGTCGAGGAGTAGGCAAGGCTCTCTGGGGTTTCTGAACATTTGATTCTTACCCATATGTACAATTTCCACTGCAAATTTATTTTCCAGATGTCTGATCAGGTGATAATCATATATAATGGTTTCATCAGGGGTATGACATGCTCCCAAGGCCATTATAATCAATGCGAGCTGTCCCGAGCTTAAATTTGACACTAAAAAGAAAAGCATTCAAGTTTACCACCACACACACACACTTGTGATTTCTGTGATCTCTTGTCTTGTAACTATTATTCCCTGTCACTTTTTTCTTCTGTTCCACTCTAGTAGTACTGTATTGTTCTCTTTATTCTCAAAGCAGAGCCTTTTATAGCAGTCCTGTATAAATGCAGGCTAGTCTTTCCCATGGAGTTATGAGATTGTTTTGGAATCGTACATAAGTTAAAAAAGAAGAAAACTAGATAAATAACAAAAGCTTGGGATTTTCTCTCTGTGGTGCCATCTTACCAGGATAGTAATAATGGATTTTTGTCTTTGGCCTTATGGAATATCAAAACTCTCAGGCTTCTCATAGTTGTTACAGTAATATTATGAGATAGATACATGTGACTTTATTTTTCTAACTAGAAAATTGAGGCTCAGTATTGGCATGACTGGTTCAAGACCCTCTCTGGACTCAAACTCACTCTAATTCTTTATTTCTCCTTGGCTGTTTCTCTTAGTTTTCTTAGCTGTAGTTCACATCCTTATGGGTTTATAAACTCAGCTAGCTTACATAATAGTATTAATGGTTAAGATTCCATATCCTCTTTTATTTTACTTTTTTATTTTTTGGTGGCTTCTTGAAGGAAAATTTTGTTTGTTTGTTTTCAGGACTCAAATAAGTAGCACTTTGCTCTAAGGTTAGTGGTGGGGATCTGATATCTTGCGGCTCCCTTCTGTCACTTCAAGCTCTATACAGTTAGGATACATGTTGCAGGGGTATTTTGAACACACAGTTTTTAGGATTCGCTGGAAATAATCTTTTGGATAAATAGGTTTCAGAGACTATAGACACTCACCTTTTCTTTCCACATTGTCTTTGAGTTGTTGGACCAGCCGTTGTATTAAGGCTTGGTTCTGAACTCCTACAAGTTTCAGGGACAGGAGGACATTGGCAGTTTGGGTTCCACTGATGTATTTTGAGTTGATCATTGTACTCAACAGAGGATTTAGACGGAAAACATTTTCTTCATTTACTTCTGTGGCAAGGGAGGGAGGAAGATGAGAAACATGCACTCAGGAAATAGTAAGAGTAGGAACAAGGAATATATTAAAATATTTAGTAACAAGTACAGCACAGACCTAGACCAATCTAGTGGCCCTTGGTTATGTTAGGTGAATAATACAAAAGTGGGTGTGGAGCCCTCTCCCCACCGCTGCCAAGACAGGTATTACTCTGTTGGCAACCAATGTAGAAGTGTTTCAATATTTTAACAAGTGCTGCAACCTTGCCATTGTGTATTGGCTGAATATCAGTTCTGCCTAGGAAATCTAGCATCATTCCCTAATTTTGTATATGAGGCTGAGAGATAGTGTCTTTAAAAAAATCTCTGGAATCAGCAGCTTTAGTTGAAACTAGGCTACATATTTTTTTGATTCCCAGACTATAGCTCTTTCAGTTCTTTCTTTGTCTATTTTATTCTTTTATTTATTTATTTTTTTGAGAGATTTTTTTTTTTTGAAAGATTTTCACTATAGGGCGCATGCGCTCGCCAGACAGACAGAGAGACAGAGAGACAGAAAGCGAGAAATCACCCCCCAGGGGGGATGGTCACGCCGCAATCCCTTCTCCTCCATCCTCCTCTCGGAATCTTGGGCACACACGCACACGCGCCCAGTGTGAGTTTTAAGCCACCGGGTCCGGGACGTGAACCGCGGTTGACTACGTGGGAATCCAGCGACATAGCCATTATGCTAACTGCTGGTTCCCGAAAGAGATTTTTTGCTACAGGACATGTATGCTCACCAGAGAGACAAAAACCGAGAAATCAATCCCCCCCACCGGGGGTGGGGATGACCACAACACAAATCCCTTCTCCTCCATTCTCTTCGTGGGATTTTGGGCACATACACATATGTGCCTGGCATGAGTTTTAAGCTGCTGGGTCTAGGACTCAAACCATGATCAACTACGCGGGAGTCCAGCAACATAACCATTGCACCACCTGCTGGTTCCCTCTTTGTCCATCTTATTCTAACTCAATTGGGTTAATACTGATGGAATGTAGGG